CATGAAGTGACAGAGTTCAGGTATTTTAATCATTTCCTTGCAGGCACAATCACTGTTTTTTCTTTGGTTCACTAGTCTTGCAGTGAATCTTCCTAGGCGTCTAGGATCTTCCCCTTAGTTCTTCTAAAGCTGAGATTACTGCTCACACCATACTGAGCAGCTTTTATTTCTCTCTAATACTTTTTTCTGTGGCCACTATTGCACTTCTTTTTGCATGTTTACAGCCAGTATCCCATTTGAAATACACAAAATGTTTGAAACTTCTCTGCATTAAAATCTGACATAAATTCACATGTACGCAAACTGGAGACCTGCTGGTTCAGATTCACTTAGCTCTCCCAAAAGCTGTTCCAAAGATGAATTATCTAATATATTGTATAAAATTTTTTTAAAAAAGGCAAAGGTTAAAAAACCCAAACAATTCTGCTTTTGTAATTTGAAAAATGGCAATTTATAAAACTTTTAGTTTATACCTACATCAGAGGTTCCTACTCTGGTTGGAGTTACAGACAACTGTGATTACGTAGACTGTAACAGTAACCAATACTATAACTAGTGTTGTTACACCAACACTATTTGGTATACTAATCTCAGTGGAGAAAGTTTCCAATGCTTCCACCAACATTCAGCTCTTTTCTTAAAAGCAAACAACAGAGCTCAGATAATAAGTACTTCATTAACTATTCAGTAATTTTTCCCAGTTCAGTTTTTCAAAACAATCATTTGGGATTATAGCCTATTCTCTTGTAACAAAAACAAATATTCAGCAATGAGAGTAATTTATAACAGAATTAGGAAAATTTAAAAACAGACTGGAAAAGTATTAGCCAACTATTTACACAACTTTAAACCAATATAAATGAAATCCAGAGGAGAAAAAGAAACTTTTATTTTTTTTATTTAAAAATAAGATTTCCAAAAAATACAAGATGAAAGAATTCTCAATAGGAATGAAAAAATAATCTATAACTTAAATCAATTTTAAAAACCCCACAGAAATATTACATTAATGAAATTGTAAACAAAGATGAATAAAAAACAATACACTGCTTATCAGCTGGATATACTGTTACACTTTCAGATTTAATGAAAAGAATACCAGAGTAAGCTTCCCTGTTTCGATATTATTCAACCATTCATCTCATACATTACCCACTCAGATATAAGCAGTGTTAGACCTTGTAATTTTCAACAACTCCAGTATGAACATTATTCAGCATTATTTGAAAACAGTCAACATCAAACTAACAACAAATTAGTAAAACTCAATCACATGCTCATGTGAGAGCTACAAAATTCAGAATGCTAATTTACAAAAATCAGTATTATTTTGCTATTTGTTAAGTAGATAGAGTGATAATTTTCTATCTATAGGCTACACTGTGATCTACAGATATCAGTCTTGGGAATGTGAATAGAAATACTTACCCAGAAATGCACATAAATTATAAGTTTCCTATTTTCTAACTTGAAAAGCACATGTTCTACTGTAAATATAAGCTCCTACATCAAAAGAAGTGTGGCCAACAGGCTGAGGGAGGTGATTTTACCCTACTAATAATTTGAATCTAATTCTAAATTAGGCAAAGTATTAGGACCTCAAAACTGTCTGTGTGATGAATAATGACAACTTGAATTTTACACAAAATAATGCTGAAGGTTACCAAAAGCTCAAGCTGTGCTTTATTACAGAAAAAAAAAGGCAGTACTTTTTCAAAACCAATTAAAAGGTATGACAACTTCCTTCCGCATATTTTAGTGTAAACAATCTATAAAAATTATCAGATCTCTTAGCAACTGATGATTTGCTCTCAACCCAAACCCAAATGGAACCAGGGATTTGGAATATCAATTTTATTTTTTTTTTAATTAAATCAAACCAATACTCCATATCTCAACACCTTCCTAGGCTACTTTATCTCATTGTCAGTTCTGGCCAAGATGATACAAACATAACTGCAGGTAGGACTATGCTGTGCTGCTGTACGCTCAGTGAAAAGAGAGGAAAAGAGCCATCAAAATTGGAAGTGAGTAGAGAAATGAAAAGAAGTCATTTTAGGTTGTAACTTTTAGGTAGAAAATCAATAACAACAAGAGTGATTTTGTCTGGGTAAATGGGGCTCAAATACAACCAAGAAAGCTCTGATGTCTTACAGAAGTCGTAAATTCCTCAAAAGTAGAATTTCTTCGAAGGACAAAGAAATGCTTCTTGAAAACATTCTAATTTGCACTGTCTTGAACCTTCCTACCACATATACATGTTATGGAAACACTGAGTGTCAAATAGCAAATACTTTGGGCAAAGGGTCTGGAACTGAATGAGAAGTGACTATCACCTGATATGTTGTGAGACACTACCAACAGGTTCGGCCTCTGAGCCACTGACAGAAGTTATTTTTAAACCTAATTCCTTCCCCGTGAAACACAAAAATGCATTATGTCATTAATGGCAAGCATCAACTACTGAGCAGGAAAATTAAGCCAAACTTGAGCCTTAAGTCATCTGGTTAAAACAAAGTGCAAAGTTTCTGGAGGTCTGGGACCTCTAATTTCAAAGGCCCTTCAAGGATTCACACTAGTTAGCACAGCAGAAAATCTAAGCACGAGATCTATGGGCCATCAAGGAATAATCTCAAGTAAGTATCTACCTCTTACCTGACGACTAACCTGATGCAGCTGGAAGGCAGTAAGCTGAGGTCTACCAGGACTTCAAGAAGCACACCAGCACACCATGTGCCCACTACTCATTCAGCCTAGGTAAGAGCTAACAGACAGCTACACAATGGCTATCAGGTATGACTAACGGTGATTTATACTGGGGGCAATAAAGAAAAATCTTTTCAGAGGGAAATGGTCTGACTGAGAAGGGACAGGCCCTGAGAAATGTGTACACCGGGCTTGCACTATGTATATACAAACTTGTTTAGGATTATTTTTATCAGCAGTGGTGGGCAGGTAAAATGCTCAGTCAGATCACTTAATTAGATTCAAACCTTCCTCTAGAGACTTTAATGCCAGATATGAGATTTTCCAGTTAAACTAAAGCTAGCTGTTTCCTGAAGTGCAAAAACCAGAACAGTACCCTTGTCTTCTGACAGTTAACTTTCAGTCAGTTACAAGACTATGAATAAAAGTGATTTTTTTATACACAATGCTAAAAAAAATAATTTTTGTGCTTGTACTTTAGAAGTACGAGAGAGAATGAGAAGTACTAGGTGGCACTAGTTAAGATCTGCATTGTTTTATGCAGCTCTTATTCAGAAAGGGCACTTAGATTTTATTTTAGGAATAGTTTAGAAGTGCTAATCCAGTATTATTGATGGGAATATATGTAGAATAAGCACCAATTTTTGTCCAGAAAGATCAAGACCACACCCTACAAATAAAACAAACAAACAAACAAACAAACAAAAATAATAATAATAAAAAATAAGGAATGCAGTGATATTTCCAGTTGGGATATTGAGAAAATTGCCAACAGTCAACTGTATTTGTATTGCTCCAATGAAGCTATGTTGGCCTCCTACCAGTGAACTGCAGTGAAATTGAGTGCATACTGAAAACAAAAGTGGAAATAGCCAAGTTAAGTAACCCATATAATTGATAGCATCCTCAAATGTATGACAGAAACTCCTGCTCTTTGCAATGACTTCAACTGGTAAACTTTGATATCAAATCAAAACAACACTTTTGGCCCATCTCCATTTTCTCTGTGCTTTTATGAATCTTCTGGTCATGTCAGCCCCCTCTAGATGCATAACAAGGACTAAGCTGCCTAGTTTAAACTCCATCCTAAAAATTGGTTCTTAGTTCCTTCTCGTCAAGACTGAAAATGACTGTGTATCTGAACTACTCTAGCAGCTGTGAGATGGAACCTCTGCTTCAAAGCAGTACATCTGAGGACAGGTTCATAGACATTATTTAATGCATTATCTTTTATTATAGACATGGGGATTTTTCAAATGAAATCTCAAATCCCTTATATTACAAGAAGATAGGTAGGTAGCATTTTTTGGTCCTACCAGGAGCTACCCCACACAGCAAATAAACTAGCTGCTCTCAAATGTTTCCAGGGGCTTTTTAATTCGTTCTTTAACTTCTCTTTGTGCCTCTCAGAAGATCAAACATTGCCAAGTCAGAAGCTAATATCCACTGTGCTCAATGAAGTATGTGTCGTTCTGATATTATATTAGGATGAAATTCAGTAACATTGTCCATAAGTTTTTTTAAATGCCTAACAATGACAAACACTAATCAGTACTAAAAATGCAGTTTCTACTAAAACAAAAAATCATAAAGGAGACCTGGAGGGAAAGAAGTGGGATTTCAAAGGAAAGGTTTAATGGATTCAAGAATTTCAAATTAGATCATAAAAGCCCGCCTGATCTTTTTCTCATGGAACAACTCTTTCTGAGAATCAGTTTCAGAAACATTACTCTGATAAACTAATAACATGATATGGTCATTCAGTTAAATGTAAAAAAAAAAAAAATTTATTCATTTTACCCTCTTAGAGGCCTCTCATTCAAAGAATACAGTTCAGTACCTCCTAAAACATGGAAGATTCTCCAAATTCTCCCTTCTGTTCTCTAAATAACTAGAAAAGGGGCAGAAATGACCTAGCAGCCTTAATCATATTACATATTGATTCCTAATGTTGTGATGGATGGGAGGCTAAGAAAAAGCAGATTTACGGAAAAAAAAAAAAAAAAGAAAACTTCCAATACAGAAACATTTGAGACGTCGCGAATCTGCGAAAACAACACTTTCGTTCGAGAATTTCGTTTGGGGAATCGGGCAAGGTTTTCATGGCCAGGGCTCTGCTCGGCTCCCGGGGAGCGGCCCCTCGCGGGCCCCGCATCGCCGCTGTCGCGACGGGCAACTGGCGACAGGGGGCGCGTGCTCGTGCCCGGCCCCTGGACCACGGGCTGCTCCCGCATCCTCCATCCCCACGGAGCCCGCGGAACTGCACTGCCCCGCGGCTCGGCTGCGCACCGGGCACACAAACGAAGCGCTCTGTTTGCCACCGAGGCTCCCGCCGTCGGGCGCGCTCTGCGCGGCAGGTTTGGTGCTCCAGGCACTGTTTCGGTAATACAGTAACACCAGGAAACAATTATATGCCCCCCACGGTAAATGTAAAAAAAAAATAGTTAAATTCGCGGTCCTCTTTCAAAATAAGGTTCAGAACAGTAAAATCTCCTAACTACGATAACTGATTAGGACGAAAAATCTTCTAAAAAGCTTCTGCGTTTCACTCATGGAACATTTAAATATTGGCATGGAAAATGAAACTGCTATTATTCCCCTGTATATGCCAGAGACTATAACAGTGGCGTTCCTTTAAAAAAGAGAAAAAAAAGGGGGGGGGGGAGGGAAGAGAATACAGCCATTACTTTATTATGAGTATCCACATTCTTTTTCATTTCCAGCACTGTCCCAGTCTTTTGCTTAAATATTGCGGCCAATACCACCTTAAGGAAAGTCTAGGCTTGCTAAAACTGGCATAAAAAATGGTTGAATATTAGGCTTGAAATTTAAAACAATAAAACAATCCTCTATTTTTAAAAAGAGAGGAAAAGTAAAGTTGGATCAAATGTTAGAAGTTTACAAAAGTTTAAAATTCAATGGATTTTTAAGATGCACCCTTTGGAACTGTCAGTGGATCATCAAAATCTGTTACTTCAATAAAGGGACCTCTAACATTGAGAGAAACTGCATTACAAACGAATCTTTTAAAATTTGTTACAAACACCACTCATGACAAGTCTTGCCCTTCATTTTTGGATGAACTGTTCCAAATAAAGTATTACTTCCTACACAACCTATATATATTAAATCCTGATTTTGTATCTTTTATTGTGTTCAGTTGCATGGCTGCCATTTAAGGTGGAACCTATTCCTGTTAGGCTACACAAAAAACATCATAAGCAGCATAACTAAAACCACTGAATTTCTAGAAGAAATTCACAGTACTTTCCACAATCATCTCATGCTGATATTTGTACAGATACAGAGGGCTAAAATAAGTACATAATTTTTCCAGATACAGAAAGGCCAAACCAGTACTTTGGCAATTGTTGTCATTTTACCAGATATGAAGGATGCTTTCTTTGGTTAACTACTTCCATACTTAAAGGAACAACAAGTTATCTACATCAACACAATACCCTATTAAATGAGTTAATATATTTCACTGAACACATTAGTAACAAATCTATATTTATGTATAAATATTTTAAATATTTGTATTTCCAATATACAAACACTCAGACTTCCAGCTAATCATGACTAAAGAAAATATAAAATTTATAACTTTATTGACAATATACTCTTTTTTATGGTACATTATGCTAACTAACTACATCTGCATTTTTAAAAAGGAAGCATTCCAGTATTTGCACCATGCAACTTCTTTGTTGAATTATTGCAAGGAATTCCTCGGGATATAGAGAAAACACACTTCCCATTTGGACAGTTTACCCTGGAATATTTAATCCCACTTGTTGACATAGAGACATGAATAATTTTCACTAAGATCATATCTAGGCCGAAAGATAACTGTAAGATGTAAGACTTCTCTCTATAAACATACACATTTATGTGTATTTATAAAAAACCTCTCTGAGAAAGGTTTAGGAAGTAGTCTGCCTCAGCTTTAAATGTTGCCTTTTATAGTGCGGTGCTGCAGGATTACTATTGCATATCATAAATAACTGGAAGTATCAGTTCAACACATGCAGAAAAAAAAAGACATTATCTAGACAGACCTGCTGATAAAAACACTAAAAAAAATTCAAGGTAGAATAAGACACTTGGAGAGAAATCTAACCATAAATGTAAACTTCAGTGCTTCCTACAAAAAAAAAAAAAAAGGTAAAAAAAAAAAAGAGCCAGTATCAAACAAATAGAAGAAGAGTGCATTTCAGTCATTTGCTTTTGGTATTAATCTCAAAACCAAAAGAAATCTCTTTGGAAAGCTAATCTGAAATTAAATATGCATAAAGTTAAACAATCAATTTGCATTAATCTCAGAACAGAATCAACACCACAACTAAAATAATGCCTGGGGCACATTGTGATGCCTACAACTGGATTTTAATTGACTTGAAGACTGTCATAGTCCTATTATCATAAAACCTGTAACGCACTTCCAGCATGGAGGACCCATCTGTGCCCACTATCCATCTGTTTAGACATGATTGGCAAAGTGGTAGGGAACTCGCAGTGGTTGCCTCTGCCTGAAAGGAATAAACCACAGGATCTTCCAGTGAGTGCCAAAAACTTCTGAGAAGGTCTGCTGCCATGGCTTTCGGGGCCTCGATCTATAGAAGACAGCATTATTAGTGAAAGACAGCATGCCCACGGTGCACTTCAGTCAGCTAGAACAATGTAGGTTGGCTGGGGATCCATTTCTGGACTCTGATGAATTGTGTCTCAGCGTCACAAATACAGCTTTCCTTTCATTACAGCACGCAGCTGAGACTTAACTTTGGAGAACAGAAACTATCTGGGTCATCAATGAAACAAAAGCAACTTTTGAAGCAGAGGAGACCTCAGAATCAATGAATTGTATGTCAAAACACAGCAGAAAGTATATTTTGATCTGTACTTTTGAAAGAAAATATAGTTCCACTGGGTTTGGGTAGGGGGGTTACTTTGTGTACAACCAATACTAATAGATTAGTGAGCTGCTGCTAAAGATAGGAAGTACAAGGCACAGTACCATGCAAAATCACCTTATCAAAGTGCCTTCAGTTCCTTTACTCTCTCACCCAGTTTAAAAAAATAGCAACTCCTTTAGCATTTCATCAATGTAAAAATTTTACAGAACTTACATGTCTTCACAACAGTTTGACATTTTTTCTATCCCTGTAGTATCCTGTTGAAGAAAACACAATGAAAAAGTATTTATTTACATTTCTAACTGTTAAGATGTCATTATGAAAGCAACTAAATAAAGTAGGGGATCAATTATTAGTGTACACTGCTTTGACATTAGTTCAGTAGGTTGCATATTACTTAAATGGCATATTAATTTTAAGTGAATCTGAGATTACCTACACAAATTTTACTCAGTCTGTTACATGATTTTTACACACATGACATGAAACTATACTGTGTAGTTTGATTACAATACCAAAGAATGTCAACAAAAACTTATAGCACTAGTACAGCTAAAATGAATTCAGATACTACAATTAATTCATGGGACATTTAGAAGGAATGTGTATAAGGTACAGTCTTGCCATACTTTTCACAAGCACCCATTCCAGACTTGAAGTAGTCCACTCAGATAACCAAAGGAAAATTTAGTAAAATACAACTATTAACACAGATGTAGTATTTTGAAAAGCAGGAACTAGTAAGAGGTTTTAAAATCATTATCTTCATGAGTATTATAATGCAAACAGTACCACTGGAAATATACCATGAGTTTTCATAGTTGCTACAGTTAAATAACAAATATACAAATTATTCTCATAAAATGTAGCAGAGGCTAAATAACGTGCAGAGTGAAGGCAACCCTACAGCTAAGAGCAACTTAAATTCATATTTTTCTTTACTTAACATGATTTAATAAGTCACCAAGTTTTATAATTAACAAATCAATTTTAGCTTAGATCATCCTCAAATAAAACTTTTAAAACTATCACATTTTTTTTCCTTACTTTTCACTATATATTTCACAAAAAAAATTATTTGGGAAATGAGCATTATTTAGGGTTTTGATACATATTCATAGTTCTTTAGGTTCTTTAAATCCCTCACAAACTCCAAAATACAATAATTGAAATACTTCTTGTGGTTTCAACTCCTGTTCATTGGTAGTTTGATATTTTCCTTTACTATTCTTTGATGGACATAATGCACCTGTCAGATTATACTAGCATTTGAATAACACCAAGAGCTAGTCTCAGTTGTCCCAATCATATAGAGACACAAGGACTGTGGTTTAATTAGGCTGCAACTTCACTGTCACCTGGAAACACGACCTAGCAATAGAAACCATACTGTGTTCCTTGATTGTTCCTGCCATCAGTGCATGCAATTCAGTGCAGGCTCTGCTGGGATTCTGCCCCTCCTTAAAGTTTTAAGGGGGAAACTAAAACTCACTAGTGTGAGTGGAAAATAACATACAGGAAGCTGCTTCCCTGCTCCACCAGAGTTGGGTGACTTCAACTCCCCTTGCCAGATTTTGTCCTTCTAAATTCACTTCCCAGCTCAGATGAGTTTCGGAACATGAACCCTTACAACACGCCAAATAGCAAAAATCTTAATTTTGCCCACAGCCTACCTAGCTGAATTCCAGACACGTTATGGTAAAGGAGAGAAGTCCCCACTTCTCACTCCAACCCACCAGGATGCAGAAGATCATCTCTGTTTGCAGAGAAGGTATGCCCACAGCAAACTACATAAATCATTCTGACCCCATCGTTAGGTGGGTTTTAACTCCCACTTAACAGTGAGGGAGGAAAGACTGGAGCCAGCAGACACTAAACACTGTCTGTTGTTTTGATTTCCACAGATAAACTGCTGCTCCTCTCACCTTATGGGCCTGTCTAGCATATCTCCCCTCACCTGCCACAAGCAGCAGGAAAGCATCACAAGACACAAGCCATTCTCCTTGTTAGGGCAGGACCTGGCTGCACAGCACAGGGATATTCTGCTCCCTTGGGCTGGCTTTTTGTCCAGCTCTTGTCAGAACAAACACCACCTCTGCTGACCACAGAAATTCACACAAAGCTTTCCGAATAAAAAGGACTAAGCAAACACAGAGATTACTTCCATGGCACTTCAGCAAGGTAGTAACAGCATTTTCGTGAGATTCTATAGCTCCTCCTGTAACTGCAAAAATATCTCAGCTCCAGGAATTATTCTCTCGTCAATTCAAAGCTGTCTACCCAATAGTACAAAACAATATTGGTATGTTTGAAAGCAACAATGAAAAATATTTTTTTTAATGAAACAGTAGCATCCTAGTCCAGACTCTAAATTGATTTGTAGCTATGAAAGATTTATGCTATCATTTCACAAAAGGAGTCCTAAACCAGTTTTGTGTGCAGAAGTAACATGACCAAATACCTTAAATATGGCTTTTTGGTACATTTCTGCGTATTGCTTATTCATTAATACACTTATACTCTTCCCTAAAATACTCTGTTTGAGATTTTTGGAGGAATTTCCTGGTTGGGAACTGAAGGGTGCATTTTGTTTTAACTGTTGTCATGGCATGTTATCAAGACCTGAAAGATTCTCATTAGGTAACTGCAGAAAATAACTGTAAGAAAAGACTGTCAAGCTTTCACACCTTTAAAAGATATTAAGGATTTCCCTTCCCTTCCTGCCTCCCCATCTTCCTTTCTTTACTTCTCTTCCTTCCTTTCCACCTCCCTCCCTCCCTTCCTTCCCTTCCCTCATTCCCTGCCTTCTTCCTTCCCCCTCTTCCTTAAAATGCCAACACATACTTCAGTTTACTTTTGCTTTACTGGGCAGTGAGTCCTTTGCTTCTGAGATACTTTTTCAGAATTAAAAAAACTTTACAGCCACATTTTAAAAGCTGCAGACTAGGGCTGGAGGAAATGGGAAGAAACATTGCTCTGAAGCTTAGCCACTCCACAAATGCTGGTGACTGAACTTAAGGAACAAAATGCCCCTCATAGCTTCCCTCCCCCAACACTGCTGCCAAGCAGGCTCATTTGAAATGTACTTTCATTTGAGAGTGAACCAAATTACCTTTTCACATGAAAGTGAAACTTCACAGCACCCCAGGAAAGTCAGTAGCCCCTCTGGAGATAGGAGATGAAGGAAAAGGAGAGGACCATAGTTGAGTTTTGACTTGTTATTTAAGGTTTTCTTCTCAGACATTAATTTTTCTTCTTTTGGCAACAGAGATCAGAATAACCACTATTCTTCTGAATGGCAAGGTGTTCTGCTCATTAATACATCTCACAAATGGCCTTCAACCAGAATATCATCTCTCTTAATTATGAACTCGATGTATACCAAGGTTTTGCTACAACATCAGAATTACTGTGTCCAGCCTAAGAGGCTTTAGCTGTCTGCATCTACTATCAGCTTGGATTACTATTAATACAAATAGAACTCTGCTAAGACTTTTTTTTTCCAGACTCACAGCTAATGCTAATGTTAAAACCTTTTGGAGAATTGGCACTCATCCAAAAGTTGAAAATAACTTAGTATGAGCAAACATGGCATATCTATTGAGTCCTAGTAATCTCTAACTCTAAAAAATCCCTTAAAAATTTTAGATAAAATTAAGATGAAATTGACAAACACACCACTAATTAAATTCACATGATGGATCATCAGGAGCCCCAAAGTCATCATCCAGATTGGAATCAACTATTGTTTCTACACTTGGTTCTTTAGAAATACATACTCTCTGATAAGGATCTTAAAGCATCTAGAGAAAAATTTTTATACCTTAGTGAGAAAGGCAAAATAAATTAGAGGAAATAAACATAGGAATAATTAACAACATATCAGTTTAGAACATCAGAAAAAGTGCAAAGCGTTCCTTCTGAGGGGAGGAGGAATGGGTTTTTTTTTCACTTTGAGGACACACTACAAGTAAGAGCAGCTGTTTTACTCTAAGTTAAGTAAGCTACTGCCATGGTCAAGACTGCTATAAAAGGGAGGAGAGGAATGGAGAGACATATGTAAGAGCACTGAGTTCTGCAGACCAACTTCAGATTCGCTTGCAAATGAATGCACCCATGTCAGCTCTTAAGAGAAATGTATCTTTCACATCTATGTTTCTAATCAGCATAACTAACTGCCTGAAAAAAATTTAAAAGATCACATGCATTGTGTAACAAACTGTGCTACAGGATGGGTTTCATCATGAACTAATTTATCATGAAAAAAAGCACACACAAAGAATATTTTTCTCTTACTGATTCATGTTTTCCAAAGGGGAAGTTGTAATTCGTAACTTACAGGACTAACTCCAAAGCATGCAGCCACAATCCCTGGTTCAATTTTTCTTCTGTGTTTGCTTAAAGTGACATGAAATCAATACAGCTCTACTAAATACTTGCAGTAGAAGAATGTAAGCATTATACTATGCTTTTAGTATTTTCAAAGCCTCAGTATAGAGATGAATCAGCAGAAAAGTATGATGAAGAATAAAGAAAAAAACAAAACCTTCAAGCCTTCCTGGACTTGCAGCCACCGCTTTTATCTGAAAGTTCATATATGAACATATATGAACCCTCTATATGAACAATACATTTTTTCATTCCTTCTACCTAACATCCTTTCATTGTATGTATGCAAATGACAAGTGAGCAGTTGAAGAATATAAAATACTGAACGTAGAAGGAATATTTCATCTTTCAGAAATTTTCTTTTTTGGAATTTAATACATTTTCGGCTTGCATTTGGTCACTTCTTAGCATTGCTTTCTTAATCTAGACTTCTCATCATATAATGTAATATGATTAATTTTATTAATTACATTCAGCCTGAAAATTGCTAGTTCTGTTTTAACTTTAAATCTGTGCTAAATGAAAAATGAAGCTACACTTTGCAATATCTAGGGAATGGTGCTGCTCTCTTCTATGCTCTGATTACTTCAGATAAATAGATTTCCAACGTATGTATCAGAAAATGATTCAGTGAAAAGAAAACCCCTGGTAACAAATAAAGGACATATCTACAAAGGAGGCAATACAAACAGATCTCTTAACTTCAGCCTAGTTCAAATCCATGGCGTGTTTGGTACAACATGACAACAAGATATGTGACAAAACATTATTTTTCTTGATACTTAGAAATGTAAGTACAAAATGTACTTACAAAAATAGCAGGGGAAAAACCACTTAAGAAGGCTAGTTGTTGATCTTCACGTGGAAG